TTTTTTTTTTTTTTTTGATTTTTGTTTTTCTTTCGCTGGTTATCGCAAAGCAAATTTTTAGAATCCTGATATTAAAATTAAGCTTTCAAAGAAAAAAGGGAAAAGATAACAAATATGTAAAAATTAAAAATTTTGCAAAATGATTCCTGTCCAAATAAAAGCAAGAAAGAAACTGGCATGCTCAAACTGGAAAAATATTTGTAATTAGATGACAAAAGGTTAACACTCTTGTTATATAAATGATATCTTTGATAATAACAGTATGAAAAGTACGGTATTAAATTAACCGAGGATGGCAACAAATTAAAGAAACCCTAAAAGCAGCAAATACTTGATATGAAAAAATTCAAACTCATTAGAAATTTTCTACAAAGTTTTTAAAAAAGAATAAATATCCATTTTTGCTTACCGTATTAGATATATGTAAAGGAATGTACAACCTATGTGCTGAAAAGAATCCTCTCATATACTGCAAGTATCAATTCACCCATTTGGGAAGTAATTCGTACTTTGGGTATCAGCTTCAAAAATATTTGACCCATTTATTCCATTTATAGAACTCTACCATAATAAAATAATTTAAAATACAGAAAAAGTCTTATATACAAAACTTAACAGCATTACTTATAATGAAAATCAGACTAAAAACTCTAATGTCCAACAGTAGGAAAACAGATTATAGACTATCTAAATGATATATCATGCAACCACTTTAAAAGATAGTAAATTTTTCACAGGGATATGCCTTTGATATGACGTTAAGTGAAAAAAAGCAAGATATAAAATTACATATACTAAAAATGATTTTTAAAAGAAAAACACACACACAGGAAAAAAGCTTAGAAGTAAAGGCATTGTCACAGAAATAAATACTAAAATGAAACTTATCCAAATATCTAACAATGGTAGGATTATACACAGGTCTATGTATTTTCATAATTCTCTATATTTTCCACATTTTCTATGGATGAGCATGCTCTTAATTTTGTAACCAGCTGGAGAGAAAATTTTAAGTATCAAGGAATTAGTGGTAGGTAGTCAGCAAGTAAATACCACTTTTCAAACAGATATTTACTTAGAACACTTATGGGTATAAATGATAAATTTTACTCCTTATTCAGGTCTAAAACAACAGAGGAACTGCAATAGCAATTCCTGCCACAAGAAATAATAACTGATTAAACTTAAATGACAAACACAAAGTCATGTTTATTTTTTCTTCCTTCATTAGTACCTTTATAGTTCTGTCAGCAGATCCAGTAACAAACCACTGATTTCCAGGTTCCACAGCAATACATCGAACCCAGCCAAGATGTCCACTGATAACCTGTATACAACAAAGTAGAATGGGCAGACTTAACATAGAAGTTAAAATGTATTTAAGGTTAACCGCAGTCCAAGTTTGAATTGCCCTCCCTCTTCAAATTCTAAATTTAAAAGATAATTTGACTATTAGATTTTATAATAATATTAAATTATCTTCAATGAGTGAATAGATACACAAATTGTGGTTCATCTACATAACGTATACTACTCAGTAATAAAAAAGAATACATTATTAATACTTGCAACAACTTTAATGACTCACAAAGGTATTAACCTGTGTGAAGGAAGCCAGTCTCAAAATGTACACATTGTATGATTTCAACAGCCAAAAAGACATAGCTAAACCAAGTTAAGAGTCCATCAAGAGGTGACTGGATAAAGAAAATGTGGTACATACACAAAATGGAATACTATTCAGCCATAAAAAAGAATGAAATTCTGTCATTTGCAACAACATGGATGGAACTGAAGGACATTATGTTAAGTGAAATAAGCCAGGCACAGAAAAACAAATATTGCATGGTCTCCCCCATACATGGGAGCTGAAAAATAAATGATCTTGACTGTCGAATGATGGCTACCAGAGGTTGGGAAGAACAGTGAATGGGGAGGCAGAGGATAAAGAGGGTGGTCAATGGGTACAAAAATACAGTTAGATAAAGAGAGTAAGATTTAGTGTTTGGAGCACAAGTTTGGTTAGTTAGCTTGGTAGCTCAATAGGGTGACTATAGTTAAGAATAATTTATTGTGTATTTCAAAATAACTAGATGAGCAAAATTGGAATGTTCCTAATACAAAGAAATAATATCCCAATTACGTGGAGAGAAATATCCCAATTACAGTGATTTGAGCATTACACATTGTATGCTTTATTTTTTTCTTTTTTGTTTTGAGATAAGGTGTCACTCTGTTGCCCAGGCTGGAGTGCAGTGGCGTGATCTTGGCTCACTGAGAACTCTGCCTCCTGAGCTCAAGTGATCCTCCCACTTCAGCCTCCAGAGGAGCTGGTACTACAGGTGTGCACCACCACACATAGCCAATTTTCGTATTATTTGTAGAGACAGGGTTTTGCTGTGTTGCCCAGGCTGGTACTGAAATCCTGGGCTCGAGAGACCCAATCAGCTAGGGTTCCCAAAGTGCTGGGATTACAGGCATGAGCCACCATGCCCAGGCTACACACTGTATGCTTGTATCAAAATTTGATATGTAGCCCATAAATATGTACATCTATTAGTCATAAAAATTAAAAATAAATTAGTACTGAAATTATTGAAAAGAAAATAAGACAACTACAGTGACAAGAAAACAGATCATTGATTGTCAGAGGTGAAGGAAGGCATAACTACAAAAGGAAAGCACAGAGGTGTTTTTTGAGGTGATGTAACATCTATATCCTAATTGTGGTAGTCGTTACCCAAATCAATATATATATTACAATTCATTAGATCTGTATGTTAAACAAAAAGGTTCTTATTGTACAATCATTTAAAAAATAAAAATTTAAAATATATATTCTGTGTAGCTGTACATTTCCTATGTACATTTTCTTTTTAAATTTTCTGTTTTTAATTTTTGTGGCTCCATGGAAATATGGGGCACATGAGATATTTTGATACATGCAAGCAATGCAAAATAATCAAACAGTATGGAATACTTCACAAATTTGTGTTATCCCTGTGCAAGGGCCATGCTCATCTTCTCTGCACCATTCCAATTTTGGTATGTGTTGCTGAAGTGAGCATGCATGCCCATTTTATTTTAGATGATATACTCTGAATCACTGTAACTTATTGTAATTGCAAGAATAACTGGTAGGCCCAATGAAATTTCTTTATATGGTATTTCCCCCTTTACCTTCAAACTAAATACTTTGAATACTTTTTCTAAATTTATTTAGTCTGCCATCCATATTTAGTAGCTTTATCTTGACATTTTGTACTGTATTTTATATAAAATACAAGTGCAACTTTTACTTAGGGAAGTGTCCTTCCCAAGAGCTCTTTTTTTTTGAGACGGAGTTTCGCTCTTGTTACCCAGGCTGGAGTGCAATGGCGCCATCTCGGCTCACCGCAACCTCCGCCTCCTGGGTTCAGGCAATTCTCCTGCCTCAGCCTCCTGAGTAGCTGGGATTACAGGCACGCGCCACCATGCCCAGCTAATTTTTTGTATTTTAGTAGAGACGGGGTTTCACCGTGTTGACCAGGATGGTCTCGATCTCTTGACCTCGTGATCCACCCGCCTCGGCCTCCCAAAGTGCTGTGATTACAGGCTTGAGCCACCGCGCTCGGCCCCAAGAGCTCTTTTAAGATACTGCCTAAGACTCTTCTCAGTTCACCTCAGATCATTCTACCAGCTTGTCATATTCACTTTTTCCTCTTTATTCTGTTCTTCAGTATTTGTCGACTAGAAAGCAATCATGGTTCACATAATAAAATAAATGCAGAGTCACTCACCCTGTAGAGTTTCCATGGTGGATGCCACTGGGGTTTTGGCATTGTAGGAGCTTTTTTAGCTATCAGTGCAGAATTCTTGGTATTGCCAGTCTCCATGACAATCTAGACATAAATGAGACTACATTATTATTATTAAAGACATCATACCTAAGGCTTCATGATATCAATTCAGAAATGGAAACTGAAAGAGAAAACTTACAAAAGTTTTTTCCATAAATGAAGAAGTAAAATTTTCTGCATGCTAATTTAAAAAAGCAATTATAAAACCACAGAGAGGCAGAACATTAGACTTAAGAGCACAAATCACTGTATGGGTTCAAAACCCAGCTCCGCCCATTACTAGCTGATTGACACTGGGTAGTAATTATGTAACCTCTATGTGTCTCACTTGTAAAATGGGAATAGTGCCTATTTCATAGGGTTACTATGAAGAGTAGTAAATGCTCCATGTAAGCTACTATTATTAAAGTTATTTTAAGTGTATTAATGCCATTGCCTTTCACTGTCATATTTTAACACTATTATTTATCTTCTAATACTTAAATAATATTTTAAAAGGTATGCTACCTAATATACCTTCTATTGTCAGCAGCCATCTAGTCACCTGAAAAATATTTACCCATAAAGTTCCCGCCCTCGAGAAGCTTAAATTATACCCTCATAATTTAAGGGCAGAGAGCCTGGACAGAAAATGTGTTCTGAATGAAGATAAAGGAAGAAATGAGATGTGGAGGCTACACATTCACTCCTTGCATAAAGTCAAATCAATTGCATAATGAGCTGAGCAGTAAAGCCAGCACTTATTTCAAGTGGCAGCACAATAAAATACACTGCAGATAAATAAATCAGTAAAATAACTGTAGAAAATAATTCTATTACTACTTTTACCACACTGAGCAGTTGCCACTACTTACAAACCAATAAACTTATTTCTAAATGCTCATTTATAAGACCAGTTGTATAACCAATGAATAGCAAAACAGTAACAGCACTGTAAAACCAGTTTTACAGTGTATAATCGTATAGCCAACTTAGTTTTAACAAAAAACTAAAACTTCATATATAATACATACTAACACAAGTTTCAAAAAACACTCCTTGCATTTTTAATAGAGGACAATAAATACCAACATCATATTATCTTTATCAAAATATATATATAATGCACAATGTAACAGAATTAAATTCTAAAAAATATATTAATTTACTACTAACTTGAGTTTTAGGGCTATGAAATATGAATGACTAGCTCACGCTGCTATTTATCTTAATAATTCCAAAGAAGTGTTTATTTCTTTAGTATTTAAGACTTTTGATTACAGGGAAATAAGGCAACGTGTTCTGAAAGTTAGAAACCTGCTATTTGAGGCAGAAAAACTTACTGAATTCATCGTTGTAGGCTGTGGACGGTCAGCAGTCCCAGGATGTCGGTATTCACTTCCACTAGGTGCAGTACGATTTGCATCAGCCCTGAGGCAAAAGAAATTACATAAAGTAATTAATGCCTCCAGTCATATATTCTGCAAACCAACCCTTTATTTTAAACTTTTCTTAGTCCTGATAAAGGAAAATGTCATATAATAAAGAAATTTTTTAAAAAAACATGAACAGTGAAATATGCTTTTAAGATCTTTGTAATTATAGTATTTCATACTTGGCCTGAGAAGGTAATGCCACCGCTAAGGACTGTGCAGCTGATTCACTTGGCATTCTCTGGATCTTAGTATCTGCTGTCAAAGCCACCCCTATTAAAATGAAAAATCAATTTCTTTCAGTAGCTTTGTTTTCATTTACATACATTTAAAATAAAATGACGAAGGAAAACAAACACCAAATGTTTATCTCCAGGCAGTGATATAAAATTTTGGTTAAATTTTACTCATCTTTGTTTTTAATTTCTACAATAAATATTGCCTAATAACACATAACTCAAATTTGATTTCATCACAACCAACCTGGTATTAAAGCAGCCCAGAATAGTAAAGTTAATTTCCATTATATTCGGATATTGGTTTCAAAAGTCAATATTAAGCAGTTCCTCAAATACTAACATAATGTTTCCAAGAGTGGATGTAACTTACTACACCCAATTTTCCTGTACTTTCTGTATATACTAAGTCTTTTGTCCTCTACCCTGTTATATTAGCCCCTCCATTTGAGAGCCAATGCCTTAATACAGACATAGGACATGTTTCTAACATACTGCTTCTAACATTTCCATCATTTTTATAAGCTTAGTGATATTTACATGTCTGCCTAAACCACCAGATAATAAATTTGTCTAGGCCTGCAATAGTTTTACTGTCTTTGAATTCCTAGCACAGTGCCTGAAAAATTACATACTTAAGAATCTTTGCTGATGAAAGCCCATGAGTATTCATTACCACCTACAAAGCTATGCAAGGATGCTTGGCTATTGAGCTTATCTTGCATTTTATACGCAACGAGAATCTCATTATTGGCTCATTAGTGAAAATATGTGTGACATTTTAAAGACATTTTCAATATACAACAGCTCACTAACCAGGTCCTGGTGGGTATGGATGTGTACCTGCCACAAAGTACTCAACTTCTTGTCCTAGAAAAAAAAAAAAAAAAAAAAAAAAAAATCAACAGTACTAAATTTATCTCATATAAAAGTCACCATCTCTTTAAATGTATCAAATAATATTAAATTATCAACCAGATCTATCAAATTTTCTCAACTTAAGTCAAGCCTCAGCAATAAGGGAAGTTGATCACTTTTGCTCTGACCTCTGTAAAACATGTCCTTGCCCATTTGCTGTACAGCAATGGTGTACAAAGAAGCCCTCCTATCAAATGACAACCCACTCTGGTATTTCTTCCAAGCTAATGGTTTCCTGTGGAATCCTGAATTCTCTTTATTATGATTTCAGTATTTAATTTCATCTTTCTGAATTACAGACAAGATACATGGCATCCCCATAGGTTAAGAATATTCTCCAACTTTTTCCCTTAGTCTCCACTGTGACTTTTTCCACATTCTAAGACTCTCTGCCAACATTATTTTGCTCTAAGAAAAAAGTCATCAACCAATGTCTCAGTATTCCCATGAGGATCAAAACTTCCATTATAATACTGGTACAGCTGTTAAATACTATATGATCACAATAAGTCCTGCCAGGAGGGGCATAAATAACCCATTTTATTTTTCTATTTTTAAAATTCACATATAAGTCCTGACATTTCTGATAATACCATACTCACCTTGATTGGCAGGGTACTGTTTATGACCATATGAATCTGTTGCATTCTGAGGACCCTTCTCTTTAAGATTTTCTTTTGAAGTAGGCATATGCAACACAGGACCATACTCATTACGAAGCTTGATTGCCATTTTTCGTTTGTGACTATTTAGAAATCATAAACATAAGAACATATCCATAAATACTTTAAAACAAATACCGGGATAGTTTAGTTTGCCAAATCATGTAGAAAAAGTTTCTATTAAGATTTTAAGTAGTATTTAAAAGATTCAAAAATTTCCAAGTTCATTTTCCCACCATTATCTGTTTTCTTTTGCTCACATTCCACCACACAACATTCATTAAACCTAATATTTTAGTTCGTTACCAAAGAAATACAAAACCTTTTATGATAAATTATCAAGGGTCTGATTGAAAGATATATAGAAACTAACATATCCCTTAAGAAACCTCAAAATCAATATACTTTCCTTCAATATATAAATATAGTAAAAACTTTATAGCAACCTTTATATGTATCTAAACAGGTTAGTCAAAACTAATCAAAGTCGTTAATTGGTTCAGTATTTTAGAAAGAAATGCACTTATATTACTTTTAAAAATAGTCTACTTTATAAATATAAATGCTTGTTTGAGGAATTCAAAGGGTAAAGGACAAAGAAGGAACACTGCACATAATGCAATCCCAGACTAGAGCTGGATATGTAGAATCAAAAATATGCCACCACTCAAAAATCTTTATTATACTAACGAGAAAAGATGGGAGTAGAGGTACTGGCCAGGTACAATTTCAGCTCAGCAAGCCTCTGAGAGCAGCGGGAAGCTGAAAGCACATACAAAGTGATTTATTATAAAATAAACCTAAAAGGGGCTCGCTTAATCACTGGGTATTTGTAAAATGCAATTAATTAATGGAACACTTACTGTAAAAGGCCAAAAAAAAGTTAAATCAGCTTAAATTATGCCAAAATACCACTCATTATTGAATAATTAGGCCATGACTATTACTAACTTATCTTTAAAGGTCTCCCTCTCCCTGTTCTCTTCCCCCAGTATTAAAATGTTAAATATTTCAGCAACTGAAAAAAAAAAAAAAACTATACCTACCTCTCTTCATCTAAAGGCACAGGTTTTCCGTTATCAGCTACAAACATGTCATGGGTCCTCTTCAATGACCTGAACACAAGTGTGTGTACAGAATGTTTCTGTACCTCCTAAAAAGAAAGAATGTAATTACACACCTACCTACAAATTAAACAAATCATAACATAACGTCAGATTGGTTATACACTTTACCTGTTTAAATATGTAAAAAGCTTTATACACTCATCATAGCTACTAGTTGCAAGCTACAAAAGTCAAGTTCAGAAAAAAGGAAGCTCCTCTTTGGCTAGAACCTCAGGTATAGCAACTGAGTGATGCCTGAGTTTAGTCATTTATTCAATAAATATTTATTGAGCTCGTACTGTGTGTCTGGCAGGTATTGCGCTAGAATCTCACAACAGAATGATAAAAAGGTGGTCATGGTCCCTGTGCTCAAGAGGAAACAGTAAAAAGTAAAATAATTCCACACTTTGATAAGCGCTATGAAGGCAACAAGCAAGGAGCTGAGTCAGAGTACGAAGGACTAAGTATAATTATAAAAGATTTCACTAAGATGATATTTAAGCCGAAAGGAAGTTAGCTTTGCACAAAATAGAGGTAAAAACGAACCAGGCTGACAGAAATGATATGTAAAAAGGTGTTCAGTTAACTGAAATAAAACAAGGAGCGCAGTACAGCTGCATACGGTGGGTGAGAAGGTGCTTTGTGGTTGCAAGGGTAAACAAGGTCCAGATTAGGTACAGTCTTTTAGACCATTACAGCAGCCTAATATTTTGTGTTCCAGCAACAGAGGGTCAGTAAAGGGTTTTAAGCAAGAAAGGTATGAACAACTTACGTTTTAAACAGAACTTATTGAACAAAATGTAAACAAGGAAACCAGTCCAGGTGAAAGATGCGGTTGGTCTGAATTAAGGTAGACTGCAGTGGTTACAGGGAAGAGTTGATGGAATCAATAAATATGTGGGGTAAGATGGAAAAGACCAGCTAACGGAGTGGCTGTTCAAGGCAGGAAAAGATGTAAAGAATGGCAAGATTTTCTGGGGATAGAGATGAAATAAGGGACGAACCTGAACGCAAGATAGAAAAGGCTGCCAGTCTTTTAGGGCACAGAATCACTCACACTGCCCCGAAGGCGGCGAGTATCAGTGGTCGAACACCAACAGACGCCCCGCCTCCAAGGACAGTGTCCAGCTCTCAAGAGTCAAACGGGGACTGAACGAATTATCTCAGGCTTCGCGCCCGCACTGAACTTCTGACTCGGGTTCTCATCTGGTTTCTCCCCCTTCCCCGAAAACCTGAAGAAGAGACCACCCGGCCTTGGCCAAACAGCTCCCCTCGTAGCCTCTTTTCTCTCCGGACTCCAAGCACTCTCAATCCCCCACGCCCACTGCCAAAGAAAAATAGTCCAGAGGCAAACGACTCTTGAGAGCACCAGTGTCACTTTACCTCGACCATGATGCCGCCGTGTATCCCACCTCCGGCAGCGACGAAACCCTAATCACTAACGCAGTACCCGCCGCCACAACTGTGCAGCACCTTCCGGAATTGGGCACCCAAGCGGCGGATGTGACGCAACTCTGCGCAAGCGCGCTTGTTTCCCCCGGCCGTCTGGGATCGGGAGGCGGATCTTCCTCCTCGGGACCGCCTCTAGGGCGGAGTCTCGAAGCTGAGGAGCGGAGACTCCTGGAACGGACTGGCTGGAGGGTTTCACTTGCCGCTCTGAGGAAACCTTACAATTTGCTTTCTGCCCTATCCTCAGCCTTAAATGTTTTGATTGGGGTTCTGGTTGTTCGTGCTATATTATCCGGAAGCTTAATGCTTTTTATTAAGTGAACCTCAGCGTCTGGAGAGCAAACTCCCGTGGGCTCTAAGTCACTTCCACTGCCTTGATCTCTTTGGAGGTCGCCGGCGTGGTTTGTCTCCTGGTTCCAGTCCTGGCAAGAAGCACTTGAACACTGTTGTAGTCTTAACGCCTGAAAACAATTTCGCTTAAACAGTCCAGTAAACACTTGTTGACCGAATGTTGCGGAATAGTTGTTTTAATTTGGAAATTTTTCATATGTAGATATGCAAAATAATTTTAACAGCTTAAAACCCCACATTTATTTTCTGCTAATAGGTTTTTTTTTTTTTAATTTCTCAAAACTGTGTAGCTCTTGGCCATTTCCTAGTTGTTTGCTAATTATTGGGCTTCAACAATGCCAGGATACAGCGTTTCAAAGCTGGTTGAAGAAAGGCACAATTGGAGACTTTAGCCATTTTTATTTTTACATATCCTTGTGCCAAGTGTTGATATTTTTGCTTTCTACCCTGGTAAAATCTGCGGTTTGTGATCAATCACACCCAATTATTTTTCTACGTAAAACGAAAAATTGATGGACTTGGGCATTTGCAAGCTTAAATAGACAAACATCTTACTGGCCCTGTTTCAGTTTAACTGATCCTGCCCCCAGAGCATACTACATATACTTTGAGAGAGTTAAAAAAAAAAAAAAAAAACCTAACAAAAGAATAGCAATGTAAATCAACAACCTCACTTGGAAATTCATTAAAAACATTAAGGTCATAGTGGTTGTTTTTTTTTTATTGAGATGGAGTTTCGCTCTTTTTTTTTCAGGCTGGAGTGCAATGGCATGATCTTGGCTCACTGCAACCTCCGCCTTGCAGGTTCAAGGGATTCTCCTGCCTCAGCTTCCCGAATAGCTGGGATTACATGTATGCACCACCACGCCTGGCTAATTTTTGTATTTTTAGTAGAGGCGGGGTTTCACCATGTTGGCCAGGCTGATCTTGACCTCCTGACCTCAGGTTATCTGCCCAGCTGGGTCTCCCGAAGTGCTGACATTAAAAACATGAGCCACCGCGCCTGGCCCTAAGGTCATGTTTTTACTTGAAGATGCAACATCTCTGAATTTGACTGTGAGTTTGGCTTAAGAATTGATTTTCTGTGAAAGTGGCAGTGATGGTATTTCCTTGCAAGAAAATACCATAATTTAAATATATACTTGAGGAAGTAAATAATATACTCACCTATGAATAATAACTATAGAAAATAACATGATTTGAAATGACAAACCATAGAAACCTAAGCAAGACTAATATCTATGGCAATATATTAATTATCTAGTTGGACCTATTAACTTTTTACATATTTAATCCTCCTGGATACGTTAATTTATAGGCCCAGACTCATAACAACATGGTAATGATTGAGGTAAATTGCCTCAAATTTGTTGCTTTTAAAACGCTGTCCTGAATTTATAAAATTATGTCATCCACTTGAAAGTTTACAATATTTTAGATAAATATAGAGCTCAAGTGACCCTATTATTTAGTTGAGGGATTCATGAATTATGTCTATTATAGGAAAATGTTGTATTTATATGGGAACACGTTTTATTTTCTGGAGAAAGGATTGTTAAGTTTCACTGGATTCCTGAAGGTCTCCAAGATACACACATCCCCTGGCTGACACCCCCAGCTGCCTTATTTGAACAGCAGGTGTCACTACTGTGCTTCATAAGGGCCCTCAGGGCTCTCCTTAAAGCAAACACGGCAAGTAATTTATTAATATAAATATTAGTATTATGTCTGTGTAAAACCAAGAATACAAATTTTAAGTAAAGTGTTCCTCCTTTAGTCAAGATATTTTAAACTCACCAATACAGAAAGTCTTTTTATTCTTCTTCAAATATCGTCCTTTGCTCTTGAGCAGTGATAAGCCATGAGTGTAAATTTGAGTGCCAATTTCAACAACTGTTAGTGATATTTTCATAGGAAGTGTTTTACGAATCTTATAATCATAAAATAATGAATATTATTATTTATTTTTCCTGTTTTTCTCAACTTAGAGTGTTAAATCTACAAGCTTTCAAGAACACTATATGCAATGTTCTTTAGAACTGTGTGGCTTAGTGTACCCATCCCTTAAATTTCATATTTGAAATTGTTCATTAATTCAAAAAAAGTAATGGTGGGAGTTAGCATTGTTTATTTGAAGTTGGGAGGTCAAAACCTGTGAAAAATGATACTGGAACATTTCTTCCAAAAGTTTGATATTTAATTGTTTAGCACAATCCTATGAATTTGCCTAAATACTAGGGTAGTGTTAACAGATACTTTCTCATAGCATAGTTGAAACAGAAGCTTCCGGACTACAGGGAACAGCGAAGGAGCTATTCATCCTGTTAATTCCTGGAAAGATTTTGGGAATAATAAAATTGTACTATCAGTTATAAACTGTCAGTTATAAATATCTTAACAAGGTATGTGTATGTGCATATGAGAGAGAGAGAGAGAGAGAGAGAGTTTTGCTTATCATAATTTCACCATTGTCTACTACATGAAGCTCCATTTCAAGTGTATTAGTTTGCTAGGGCTGATATAACAAAGTATCACAAACTGTATGGCTTAGACAACAAAGGTTTATTGTCTCACAGTTCTGGAAGCAAGAAGTTTGAAATAATGGTGTTGGCAAGGTTGGTTCCTCCTGAGGGCTCTGAGACAGAATGTATTCTATGCCTCTCCCCTAATTCCTGGTAGTTCTCTGGCAGTCTTTGCCACTTCTTGGCTTCTGCTGCATCACTCTCATGTCTGCCTTCATCTTTACCTTTCGTTCTCGCTTGCCTATGCCAAATTTCCCCTTCTTAAAGAACCTCAGTCATGTGGAATTAAAGGCCCACCCTACTCCAGTATGGCCTTATCTTAACTAATTCCATCTGAAAAGACTTTAAGTACTGGGGGTGAGGAATTCAAAATGTGAATTTGCCGGAGACAATTCAACCCACAACATCGTGCCACAAAACAAGTGACAATATTGAACATAATCATGACTTTTGTTGTTTACCTTTACAAATAAGAATTTGTACTTACAAACATTTACAACTGTTTTTATTTTACAGAAATATTTTTGGTGTTTATACTGCCACAGAAGAAATAGCAATGTCATGGTTCCAGCTTTCTTAGCTGAATGTTTGGTTGTAATACTTGTTCAATTATCTGTATTTCCCGGTAGACTTATGGGTGAATATGGCATGATGTTCACTATCACACACTTAGGATCTAATTGACTTGCAACTGGTAAGTTTTCAATATTTACTGAATGAATGAATATGTAAGCACTTAAATATGGGTGTAGGTGTCATTGAGACCTTAATTTTGTTTTTTTGTTTTTTTGAGATGGAGTCTGGCTCTGTTGGCCAGGCTGAAGTGCAGTGATGCCATCTTGGCTCACTGCAACCTTTGCCTCCTGGATTCAAATGATTCTCCTGCCTCAGTCTCCTGAGTAGCTGGGATTACAGGTGTGCACCACCACGCCCAGCTAACTACTTGTATTTTTAGTAGAGAAAGGTTTGGGCCGGGCGCGGTGGCTCAAGCCTGTAATCCCAGCACTTTGGGAGGCCGAGGCGGGTGGATCACGAGGTCAAGAGATCGAGACCATCCTGGTCAACATGGTGAAACCCCGTCTCTACT